AACTGGGGTCGGCCATGTGGAGTCCAGTGCCCTTAACCACTATACCATCTGCTGGCCCCTCTAATACAGTTTCTCATTAAAATAGCAAAAGTAGATAGGATTGTGCTGTAAACTAAATTGGTGCTATGAATGGGTCACAGAAGTAATTTGTCTTTTGGAAGGAGAGTGCACTGGTGTCCCATAGAACTTAGGAAGAGTATTCATGCGTGACAACCTGGATAGTGCTAACTAATCCAATTTATATTGTATACTTCCAGGAATAATTTCACATAATTCAGTCAAGAACTTGTTAAGAGAAATTGGTCTTTTAACATTTAGTCTTTGACCCTTTTTTGAAGTTATTTTTGAGAGACACTATTTTTTAAAAGTAATTGTTTATTTACTTTTATTTATTATTATAATATTAATTTGGATAGAGAGAGAGAGAGAGAGAAAGAAAGCAAGCCACCAGGTTCAGGACTTGAACCGTGCTCGGCCACTTGGGAGGCCAGCACCTTAACCTCCACGCCACCTGCTGGCCCAGAGACACCAATTTTTGATAGGCTCTTGCCAAGGTTGGATCCAGCCTTCCAGCTTGATGTTTAGGTTTGGCTGGTAACTGAACCCAGATACCTCATGTGGCCTCAGCCTCCAACCAGCAGTGCTTTCAGTATGATCCATAGCAGCTGAGCTTGGCCTTTGACTTCTAGGTATGTTAATAGAGCCATATGATTTTAGAACAAGAAGGATGTTGAGATCATCTGTGAAATGTCCATACTTTATAGATGAGGATTCAGAGAGTTGGAGATCTATCACTAATTACTAGCAGTACCAGGGTCGAAATTCTTGCCTCCTCACATACATACATTTTATATCTGTGTGTGTGTGTGTGTGTGTGTGTGTGTGTGTGTAATGTACAATTATTTAAATTAATGTAAACTTTAAAAGCGTATCTATTAGGCTAACTCCATGGTCTGGTGGTTGAGGCAGTTGGATTCCACATTTCCACATGGCTGACCATGCAGTTGAGTTTGCACCTTACAACTGGAGAAACATGCCTTTGGCATGTACACGCATGCCCAAAATCCTGAAAGGAGGAAGAGATGGAGGAGAAGGGATTGTGGTGTGACCCTTCCTTATGGGGATTGGTTTCTCTTCTTCCTCTCTCTGTTTTGCTGTCTCTGATGAGCACATGCACCAGCAAAAGAAAAAGTTAGCTATGTTCTTTCACATGAGAGGGCACCCCACAGGGTCTCACCATCTCATGATCTCCCTCCCCCCACCTTCCAGCCAGTCAGGATTCCTGGATGTACCTGGCATGTTTAGTTCAACTCAGGATTGGAATCCTGGGCCTTCCATGTAGCTCTGGCCTCATGTGGCAGCCCTCCACCACCCGCATCACTGTGGCTGAGTCTTGCCTCCTCATCTTCATGTTAAGCCCTTCCACAGCTCCATTCTGTCCATCTTACCCTTAGATTTGTGCTGTCTTTGAAAAATTAGATTTTTTTTTAAATTATAGACTTAAATTTTATTTTATATATTATTTTAAGAGAGATTTTTGCTATGGGGCGCATAGACTCACTGGTAAGACAGAGACAGACAGTGAGAAGTCATCTCTCACCACTGGGGTGGGGGATGGCCGTACTGCAGTCTCTTCTTCCATATTCTTCTCTCAGGATCTTGGGCATGCATGTGCGCCCGGCCTGAATTTAAGCTGCCGAGTCCAGGACTTAAACTGTGGTCAACTGTGGCAGTTGAGCAATGTAACCAGTATGCCATGTGCTGGTCCCGGTTTTATTTATTTCTTTTAAAATTGATTTTATTTAGGACCAGCAGTTGATGTAATAACTGTCACTGGACTCCCATGTAGTCAGCCACGGTTCAAGTCCTGGACCCGGTGGCTTGAAATTCATGCTGGGCATGTGCGCATGTGTGTCCAAGATCCCGAGAGGACAGTGAAGGAGAAGGGATTGTCATGTGGCCATCTCCCCTGTGGGGGGGTGATTTCTTGTTTTCTGTCTTTCTGGTGAGCACACGCACCCTATAGCAAAAACCTTTCCAAAAAAATTTATTTATTTTTTAATGGAACTTGATCTTTTTCTTTTTTTTTTTTTAAAGAATTATTTACCTTTATTTATTTATTCATTCATTTATTTTAATTTGACCAGAGCTAGGGAAACGGCAGTTAGAGTAATGGCTATGTCGCTGGACTCCAATGTAGTCGACCGTGGTTCGTGTCCCGGACCCGGTGGCTTAAAACTCAGGCCGGGCGCGTGTGCGTGCGTGCCCAAGATCCCGAGAGGAGAATGGAGGAGAAGGGATTGCGGCGTGACCATCCCCCCTGGGGGGTGATTTCTCGCTTTCTGTCTCTATGTCTCTCTCTGTCTGTCTGGCGAGCGCACGCGCCCTACAGTGAAAATCTCTCAAAAAAAAAAAAAATTTGACCAGAGATAGATACAGAGAGAAAGCAAGCAACCAGGTCTGGGACTTAAACCATGGTTAGCCATGTGGGAATGTCTGGCATCCCAACCACCATGGCACCTGCTGGTCCCCTTATTTATTTAATTATTTTTAAAATTTGACAGAGAGAGAGAGCGAGTGAGCAAGTGAGTGAGCGAGAAAGCCAGAAGGCAAGTCGCCAGAAGGCAAGTCACCAGTGTGGGGACTTGAACCCTGGTTAACCATGTGGAAGTCCAGTGCCTCAACCACCACTCCACCTGCTGGTCTGTTTTTTTCCTTTTAAAATTGCCTAAGGGTGCTGGTCAGAGAGAGAAAAAAAGAAAGAGGGAGAAAGCACCCCAGGGACATGGTATGCCACCATCTCTTCTCCCTTTTGTCAGGATTTGGGACACATATGCTCAGTGTATTTCCCAGCTGCTGGCATCAGGGCTTGAATTCCATGGTTGCCCACATGAGATCTGGCTTCCCTTAACCACTAGGCTATGGGACCAGTCCACTTGATTCTTGTTTAGTTGATTTTGACAGTTAACTGCCTTCAATAATAGTAATAATGGACTTCTTTCAATGTACAATGGAATTATAATCTGAAAGAGTAGCTCCTCACGGTCATTGAATAAATGAAAAATGTTCCCCTTTCAGGCGTTCCAGAAGTAGAGAGAGAGACCGAAGCCGAGAGCGAAGAAGATCTCGTAGTCGAGACAGGAGACGTTCAAGAAGTAGAAGTCGGGGCCGGCGATCTCGATCCTCCAGTCCTGGCAATAAAAGCAAGAAAGCTGAGAATAGGTAATGTTACTGGATTGGATTATGTTGGGAACTGGCTCTCTTATGCTTTCCTCTTTTTTTTAACCTTTAAATTATCTTTATAATTAATTGCTGAATTTGGCTCCTACTGTAAACTGTTGGCAAAATTTTATTTTACTAAGTTATGTTTATAATTCACTTGGAACATGCTAGATTCTGTTATTTATTTATTTATTTATTTGAGTTTTTTTGCTAAAGTTCATGTGCATTCACCAGAGACAGACAGACAGACAGAGGGACAGAAAACAAGAAATCACCCCCCAGAGGGGATGGCCATGTTACAGTCTCTCCTCCATTCTCTTGGATTTTGGGCACGCACACACACGTGCTTGATATGTTTAAAGGCGCTGGGTCTGGGATTTGAAGTGCGGTCAACTACATGGGAGTTGAGCGATATAACTGCTCTGTCCTCTGCTGGTCCCTGTATTATTATTTTTTTCTAAAGAATTATTTTATTTAGGGGCTAGCAGTTGGCATGGTGGTTAAGGCACTGGACACGCCCACGTGGCGAACCCTGGTTCGAGTCCTGGACCTGGTGCCTTGCTTTCTCACTTTCCCTCTCTCTGTCTCTCTCTAATAAAATTAAAATGAATGAATGAATAGATAAAAAGTAAATAAAATAATTCTTTTTTAAAATTATCATTTAAAAAAATAATTACTTATTTTATTTATTCATTCATTTATTTTTTAGTTTGAGCAGAGAGAGACAGAGGGTGATAATGAGAGAGAGAGAGAGGAAGTGAGAAAGCAAGCCACCAGATTCAGGACTTGAACCCTGATCGGCCATGTGGGAGTGTCCAGCGCCTTAACCACCACGCTACCTGCTGGTCCCCAAAATTATCATTATTTTTTTTTAAAGTTGGCCAGAGAGAAACAGAGAGAGAAAGGAAGGAAAGAAAGAAGGAAGGAAAAAAAAGAAAATAATTTTTTTCTAAAAAAAGAAATGCACATAATGAACAAGTTGGGTTTATTCCAGGAATAAAAGGTTCATTTAACATTAAAAAAAATCAGTCTGTAATTTTCTGTATCAATAAGGAGAATAGTAGTAATTATACAAATAGGTTCAGGAAAAACATTAAATTCAACATTTATTTACGTTTAAAACTTCTTAGCAAGGACCATCAGGTCCTTGGTGGTTAAGGCACTGGACTCCCACATGGCAGAACATGTTTTGAGGCCCGGACCTGGCAGTTTACTTTCTCTCTCGGTCTCCCTGTTTCTAGTGAGCTAATGTACTCTATAGCAAGGGCTATTCTTTTAAAAAAGCCTTCTTAGCGGATGGAAATATAAGGATTTTTTTTTTTTTAAGAGAGAGTTTGCTGTAGAGCGTGCTGTGTGCTTGCCAGAGAAACACAGAGAGAGACAGAAAGCGAGAAATCAGGCCCCAGTGGTGATGGCCATTCTGCAGTCCCTTCTCCATTCTTCTCTCGGGATTTTGGGCATGCATGCACACGTGCTTGGTGTGAGTTTTAAGACACTGGGTTCAGGGACCAGCAGTTAGGGTAATGACTATGTCGCTGGACTCCCACGTAGTCGGCTGCAGTTTGAGTCCCGGACCCGGTGGCTTGAACTCACAACAGGCGCGTGTGCATGCGTGCCCAAGATCCCGAGAGGAGAATGGAGGAGAAGGGATTGCGGTGTGGCCATCCCCCTTGGGGGGTGATTTATCGTTTTCTGTCTCTCTGTCTGTCTCTCTGTTTGTCTGGCGAGCGCATGCGCCCTATAGCCAAAACCTCTCCAAAAAAAAAAAAAAAAAGACACTGGATTCAGGACTTGAACTGTGGTCTACTATGTGTGAGCCCAGTGACGTAACCATTAAGTCATCCACTGGTCTTTAGAAGGACATTTTAAAGATTTATTTATTTAATTTTATTCATTCATTTATCTTAATTTGACTAGAAAGAGAGACAGATAGAGACAGAAAGCAAGCCACCAGGTCTGGGACTTGAACCGTGGTTGGCCCTGTGAGAGTGTCCAATGCCTTAACCACCATTCCACCTGTTGGATCACTCCCATGGCTGACCATTGTACAAGTCCAGGACCTGGCGGTTTGCTTTCTCACTTTCCTTCTCTCTCACTCTGTCCCTCTCTGGTCAAAATAAAAGTAAATAAATAAATAAAGTTAAATGAAATAATTACAAAACAGGTATGGAACACATGAACATAATCGTGAAGAACAAGTTTAGCAGACTTGCTCTACCAAGTCTATTACAACTTGTCCTAAAATTAGAGAAATTGAGACAATATGGAATTTGTATAGGGCTAGATAATAGATTGATGGACCTTTATAAAGAGAACCCAGAAAGAAATCCACACATATGTTGATTTGATAGATAAGAGAGATTATACTGCAGTCATTGGGGGAAAGTTTTATTTTATTTTTTTATATATTTTTTGAAAGAGGTTTTTGCCAGAGCTGGTAGATGGCCTGGTGGTTAAGGGCACTAAACTCCCACATAGCCAACCATGGTTCAAGTCATGGATTTGTTGACTTGCTTTCTCATGGTCAAGTTAAAATAAATAAAGTTAAATAAAATAATTTTTAAAAAGTCTTAAAAACATAGGATATGTGTGTTTGCTGAAGAGTGGGAGAAGAAGACAGTGAAGGAAAAAGTGAGTAATCATCCCCCCCTCCCCCCCAGGGATTATGGCCATGCCACAATTCCTTCACTACCATTCTTTTCCTAGAATCTTGGATATGCATTCACCCACACCCAGCATGATTTTTTTTTTTTTTTTTCGGGGGGGCTTTTTTGCTATAGGGCGCATGTGCTCTCCAGAAAGACAGAGAGAGACAGAGATAGAAAGTGAGAAACCACTCCCCGGGGGGAGATGGCCACGCTGCAATCCCTTCTCCTCTATTCTCCTCTCAGGATCTTGGACATGTACACACACACACCTGATGTGAGTTCAAACCACCGGGTCCGGGACTTGAACCATGATCGACAACATGGGAGATCAGCGACATAGCCATTACACTAACTGCTGGTCCCCCAGCGTGATTTTGAAAAGGTCCAGGACACTAACTGCAGTCAGACGTGGGAGTCCAGTGGCGTAACCACTATGCCATCTGCTGGCCCCATGAAAAGTTTTTAATGTGTTCTAGGGACATAGCTATCTTCTACTTAAATGAAACCATCTACCTTATTCTATAGTCAAACCAATTCTAGACAGATGAAAGACCAAATTAGATTGTAGAATGGTAAATGTTTTAGAAATTCTGGAGAATATCTTCATTTTTATGTTTCTTAATCAAATCTGTGAGGATTTTTAATTTGTCAAAATTTTCAGTCATTAAAGGGAGGACCAGCAGATGGCTTAATGTTTTCCTCTCTGGACTCCTACATAGTTGACTGCAGTTCCAGTCCTGGTCCTGGTAGCTTAAAACTAATGCCAGGTGTGTGTTTGTGCATGGCAAAGATCCTGAGAAGAGACTGGAGAAGGGATTGTGTTGTGGTCATTCCCCCAAGTGGTGATTTCTCGCTTTCCCTGTGTCTCTGTATCTATGGTGAGCTTGCTTATGTGCCATTTAGCAAAATTTCTGTTTAAAAAAAATCATTAGGGGCCAGCAGGAGGCGTGATGATTAAGGTGCTGGGATTCCCATATGACTGACTGGTTCAGTCCTGGACCTGGCAGCTTGCTTTCTGTCTCTGTCTCTTTCTCTAGCAAAACTCATGTAAAACAATACTCGCGCCCGGCGTGAGTTTTAAGCCCTGGATCCGGGACGTGAACTACAGTCTACTACGTGGGAGTCCAGCGACATAGCTATTACGCTAACTGCTGGTCCCAAATTATTAAATTTTTTCAAAAAGAATCATTTGAGGATCCAGCAGTTGGCATAATGGCTATGTCTCTGGACACCCATGTATTCTACTGCGGTTCAAGTTCTGGACTTGGTTGCTTAAACTCATGCCAGGTGCATGTGTATCTGTGCCCAAGATCCCGAGCAGAGAATGGAGGAGAAGGGATTGCAGCATGGCCTTCCCTCCTGGGGGGTGATTTCTCGCTTTCGATCTCTGTTTCTCTCTGTTTTTCTGGTGAGCGCATGCACCTTATAGCAAAAACCTCTCTAAAAAAAGGGAAAAAGATTACCAGGAGGTGGCATGGTGGTTAAGACGTTGGATCCTCCCACATAACCGACCGCAGTTTGAGTCCTGGACCTGGTGGCTTGCTTTCTCACCTTCCCTCTCTTTCTGTTTGTGGCTCTCTGTAGTCAAATTAAAATAAATGAATGAATAAATTTAAAAAAAAATTTTAAAAAAACAGTGATTTATTTTTTGTTATTATTTTAGAGGTTTTGCCTTAGGGTGTGTGTGCTCGCCATACAGTGACAGAGACAGTGAGGGAGAGTGAGAAAGCTCTCCCTGGGACCAGCAGTTAGTGTAATGGCTATGTCGCTAAACTCCCATGTAGTCGACCACAGTTCGACTTAAACTCATGCCGGGCACATGTGCGTTTGTGCCCAAGGTCCTGAGAAAAGAATGGAGGAGAAGAAATTGCGACGTGGCCATCCCCCTCGGGGGTTGATTTCTCGCTTTCTGTCTCTCTGTCTCTCTGGCAAGTGCATGCACCCTGTATCAAAAAAAAACCTCTCCAAAAAAAAGAAATCTCCCCCCAAAGGGAGGACCACAGCACAATCTCTTCTCCTCCATTCTCCTTCTGGATTCTTGGGCATGCACACACAAGCCCCTAGTGTGAGTTTCAAGCTACCAGATCTGGGTTTTGAACTGTCATTGGCCATGAGAGAGTCCAGTAATGTAGCTGCCATATCATTTGTTGGACCTATTGTTGTTATTGTTATTTAAAGAATTATTTTAGTTAACTTCATTTATTTATTTACTTATTTTAATTTGATCAGAGAGGTACATAGTGTGGTGGGGGAGTGAGAAAGCCAGCCACCATGTCCTGGACTCGAACCGAGGTCGAGAGCCCATTGCCCTTAACTACCATACCACCTGCTGGTCCTATTATTACTATTTTTCAAAAATTTCTTCTCAAGGGCTGGCAGGTAGCTTGGAGCTTGGGGCACTGGATCCCACATGGCCTAGCATGGTTCAAGTCCTTGACCTGTTGTTGGCTTGGTTTCTCTCTCTCTCTCTCTCTTGCTCTGATCAAATTGAAAAACGATAATAATAAATAAAATTGAATAATTCTTTAAAAATATATTGTTCTTGGGCACATGTATTCACCAGAGAGAGAGGGAGAGAGAAGGGAAGTGAGGAAGCAAAATGCCAGGTTTGGGACTCGAAGTATGGTCAGCCATGTGGATGCCTTAACTACCATGCTACATGCTTTCTCCTCAAATTATTAAATTTTAACTATTTTATTTAAATTTTATCATTGTTTTTAATGATATATACAGATTTTCTCAGTCAAATTTCCTAATATTTTGTAATGTTTGCTATTTCAATGTCATGAGATTAATTTTTTTATTACATTTTCATGATGATTATTAGTGGAAAATGAAAATGTAATTCATGCTTGGAGAATTTTCTTTTAACCTAAAAAGTACAACACAAGTCAATAAAAGTATTTCAAAATAAATTTTTCTAAGTCTAAATGGATGATATTTCTCTCTCTGTTTTTTTTTTTTGAAAGGTCTAGGTCCAAAGAGAAAACAGAAGGTGGGGAGAGTTCTAAAGAGAAGAAAAAAGACAAAGATGATAAGGAGGATGAAAAAGAAAAAGATGCTGGCGTATGTCTACTAAAGAAATAATTACATAATGTCACATGTGTTTGTATGATGCCATATTCTTGGTTTGTTTTAAATGGTTTATGCCTAATTTTCCCCCTTTCTTTATGACAGAAAGCATGCGCGTAAGAGAATGTAAGTTCACCCTTGATATGGTCTTATCACACTGCATTCTCTGTTCCCCAGCCCCCACTTCCCATGATTCCGTGTGCCCTCTACGTGCCCAGTGTTTTTTCAGGCTGACTCAGGACCCAGGTTCAGTTGCCATTTTGCTTCCAGAATGGCAGGCTACTGGTATTGCTGCTGGTCCTCAGTGGCTAGGCCTGTGTGCTTTATTTAAAAAACTATTTATTGGGCTGGCAGGTTGTGTGGTTAAGGCGGCTGGACTCCCACATGGCTTACTGTGGTTCGAGTCTTAGACCTGGCAGCTTGCTTTCTCACTTTCTTTCTCTCTTTCTGTGTCTCTCTGGCGAACTTCAAAATATAAAAAATAAAAATAATGATAATGAATAAAATTAAATAATTCTTTTAAAAAATACTTTTAAAATTTACTGTAGGGTGTATATGCTGACTCAAAAGTGATAAGGAGGGAAAGTGAGAAGGCATTCTTCAGGGATGGGGGAATGGCCACTCTGCAGTCCTTCTCTGTTTGCGTCTTGGGACTTTGGGCACGCATCACATGTGCCTGGCATGTTTTTCAAGTCACTTGGTCTGGGACTCAAAACCGTAGGCTGTCAGGTGGGATCCAGCTCTTTAACCACCATGCCACCAGCTGGCCCCATATGCTTTATTTAAGAATTATTTTATTTAACTTTATTTATTTTATTTTAATTTGACTAGATAGGTGCTGAATGAGAGCCAGAGAGATGGAAAGTGAGAAAGCAAACCGTCAGGCCCCAGTACTCAACCTTAGTTGGCCACGTGGGAGTCCAGTGCCCTTAACCACCATGACACCTGCTGGCCCCACTTTATTTTTAAATAAATGATAATGGCTCTGTAAGATAAACAGGAAGACAAAATAATAATTGCCACCAGAATTGGGTCCAGGAACTGGACTGCTGTCAGCCATGTGGTAGTTCAGTGATGTAACTGCTATGCTATGTGCTAGTCCCTTTATTGTAGTTTTTGAACTTGCATGTTTTGCCCTTATCAGAATATATTACAGCTTCTTGTCTGTTTGTTTTTGAGTTCTGTTTTGCTTCTTTTTAAAAGTTTTCTCAGGGACTTGTTTGTTGAGCAGGGTATCTAAGAAAGGACTTAAGTCTGGGAATCATGTTTTTTAATCTAGTTTCTTAAGTTGAATGGGTGATCGTGAAAAATGCAAATAAACTTTTTGGGACTTATGTTTAGAGAACAGAGTTTATGATATACTTTTTAAAAAAAAAGATTTTTTAAATTTGAATTTATTATTATTACTATTTACCAGTTTGATCAGAGAGAGACAGAGAGTGGGACCGAGGGAGAGTGAGAAGGCAAGCCTCCAGGTCCAGGGCATGAGTCATGGTTGGCCATGTGGGAGTCCAGTGCCTTTAACCTCCACGCCTCCTGCCAGCCCCAGTTTATGATATACTTGTAAAGTATATCAGTTGAAAAGCAAAGTTTTTCTTTTGTTTAAGAAGCGAACTTATTTGTTTTTAAAATACAAACATAACCTTGTCTCCAAATATTTGCTTAGTCAGAAGTAATTCTGTGTAATCCCAAGTACCAAAAACATCTTTATTAAAGTTTTGCAATTTTTTTTTGGAGAGGTTTTTTGCTATAGGCCGCGTGCACTCTCCAGACAGAGAGAGACAGAAGAGACAGCGAGAAATCACCCCCCAGGGGGGATGGTCACGCCGCAATCCCTTTTCCTCCATTCTCCTCTAGGGATCTTGGGCACACAGGCAGACGCACGTGGGGTGAGTTTTAAGCCATCGGGTCCGGGACTCAAACCGCGGTCGACTATGTGGGAGTCCAGCGACATAGCCATTACGCTAACTGCTGGTTCCCTTGCAATGTATTTTTCATCTGTTTTCTTATATGTATGTTTCTATAAGTAGCTATAGTGAAAGCATATGTAAAATATTAATTCTTACAATGCTTGATCTTTGAAGTCCCTGGTTATGGCTATGAAGGTGATTTACTTTTTCTCTTTTGAATGTATTAACAGTATTTATTTATTTTTTTAGAGAGATTTTTTACATAGGGCACGTGTGCTCGGTGGAGAGACAAGAGGCAGACAGAAAGCAAGAAATCACCCCCTAGGGGGATGGCCGTGCTATAATCCTTTCTCCTCTCAGAATCTTGGGCATGTACACATACACGCGCCCGGCGTGTGGCGTGTGTTTTACACCTCTGGCTCCGGGACTCAGACTATGGTCAACCATGTGAAGTCCAGCAATGTAACCATTATTCCATCTTCTGGTCCCGATATTAATAATCTGATGAAATCTTTAGATTATGTCTGGGGACCAGCAGTTATCATAATGGCTATGTTGCTGGACTCCCATGTAATCGACCACAGTTCGAGTCTCGGACCCAGTGGCTTAAAAGTCACGCTGGGCACGTGTGCGTGCATGCCGAAGATCCCGAGAGGAGGAGGGATTGCAGCATGGCTAAGCCCCC